GATTGCACGCACGTATGGTTGTGCAAAAAGGCCCAAAGCACCAATTAATGTTGACTTTATTGACATATATTCATGTCCAGTAATAATTGCAAGTGTTTAGTGTTTGTTATCGTGGTCATCTTTCTTTTACCCACCCCAAAAAGGTAAAAACAGAAGAACCCCTTCACCTAAATTCCCAATAATGATCTCAGGGGGCAAATTTCTATGATTACATTATGGTTTATACGTCACACTCGAAATAATTAGTAATTCTAATAATAACCATGACAATATATATATGAATGGGAAATCCGAACAAAAAAAGGAGTTAGGAGTTGACGAGATTGATTAAAGTGAATAAAGTTGGGGAGTGGATCAGTAATCTATGGTCAGTAACCATCAGTAACATGTCCACATTAGCATGACATCAGTAGCCTCTCTCTTCTGGAAAGTATTTTATCTTTTTCCTTTAATCTTTAACGGACGATTTCTCTCTCGTTTTAAGTCGAAATTTAATTTTTTTGCACAATAAATCAGATTAAATATGCTCTTCAAAATGATATCCACTTTGATATATTTTTAGTACAAAAAAATTGAATAATTTTTTACTGTCATTACCATAGTGGTATGCTCCAATTTAATACCATATGGTAAGAAAGCGTACCATGATGGTATGAACATACCAATATGATAAGAAGGTTGAATACATGATAGTAGAGTATATTAACTTCATTTATGACTTTCATCATTGTTTACTACAAGTTACCACAAGTTACCAATCACATACCATATAGTGGTAAAGTATGGTAATTTTTTATCCATTATTTTTTCACCCAGAAATTTATAGATCAATAGATCATGATGAACTCGTTTCTTCTGAGCAAACGTTTTCAAAAACGACTTAAAAACAAAGAAGTTACCATATGGTATGTAGTTGGTAAAAAAAAAAAGTTTCTCAAAATATATTGAAAATTGATCGCATTTTGTAGAGCACAACGAACTCGTTCCATCTGTGCAAAAAAAATTGAAATCCGAGTTAGAACGAAGAAGATAAGAGTCAATTAAGAAAACTAGGAAAAATAAAATGTCTTTAATTGACAACCCTTAGATTGAATTTTCTAGATCCACTTAAATCTAAAGGTTCAGATTTAGTTACTCATAGGTTAGTAACCATTGGTTACTGATCCTATCCTAAGCCATAAAGTTGTGCTACTATAGACGAGATTAAAGTAACGAATTCTTAAGTTATTTTTAAATTTTGAAACCCAACAATTTGAAACCGAATTACCCACAATGGCGACAATTGAGAATTATTTTCCGATGAAAGAAGACAATAGTTAGAAATAACCACTACCAACAAAAAAAAAAAAAATTCAACCTACTAACAAACCACCCTACAAAATCAAAAGAACCTAAGCTAACTTTTAATAGAGAGAGCAACAGGACTTTACGTGCCACTTCATGAGCAGTCCAGTTGGCAGTCGCGGAACCACTCTAAAGTTATACAATGAGAAGTGAGAAATACTAGTGAAATAAACATAGACCGGTTTAATTGGAGACATCTAATATTAAATGACATGCTTGCTGGTAAGATACTTGAAATTAGTACAAAAGTTGAAGCATAGATAAGAAGTTTCCCAGATGATTATTCTCTTGTAGATTTGAAAAATTCTCTACACATTTATTTACCTTATTTGACTTTCTCGATAGAGATTTCCGTCTTTCGTTCAAACTCTAGGTTCACTTTGCTTTTTATTCCATAATTGTCTTGTGATTGAGGAGTTTTGTGGTAGTAGATAATTTTTCGAAAGCGTCTTCCATTTCTAAAAAAACAGGTAAGTTAATGTAAATGTGTCATTTAATCGATTATTTATTGGAAGCGGTCGACCTCTTGATGAAAACGATAAATTAGCTTCCTGAAGTTGTAACACTTTCAAGGAAGCAATATACCATTTGCCGAAAGAAGTTTACCGATTGACAAAGCAATTAATCATTTTTTTCAAATCACAACAACTTATAACTTAAAAGTCAAGATAAACATACCCAAAACTTTGTGCTCGAAACAAGGTAAAATAGAAGAGCTGGTCGACACAGAAGTACGTAACTCATTGTCGTACCAGGCTTGGCCTTCAAATTTTAGAACGTAAAATTGGTGGATTTAAAACAATCAAGTGTGGGCTACAAACAACTAAGGTTTTCTGAGTGGGCCAAAATGTAACTTGAGCCCAATTAAAGGAAGAAGACGGTCGTCAATTTGGTTTGGTTTGGCAAATGGGAATTTAAATCCCTAATTCTGTAAAAAATCATCAACAGAGCTTTTCCGCCAAAATCTTCAACAGAGCTAATTTCTGGGCACGCCATTTCGATTTTAGAAGAAGAAAAGTGGATTTCACCAAAAAAAGAAGAAAGGGGCAAGAGGGTCGAGTTCGCGGTTCACAACTTCCTCTGCCGGCGGCGCTGTGATTCCGCCGCTGCAATGGCTTTGAACAGGTGGCGGCTTCTCCTACTTCTCAAGTCTTAACAGTTCCCTGCTCCTGAATTCTTCGACTGTCGGCGATGGTCGTAATCAGATATGATAAAAGGCAAGCCCGTGGCTCTCTTCCAATGTTTCAGAACGGGCAGCAGAAAATTAATGGCGACTTCAGTTGCTACCCTGGACCATCCTCCTCCTTCATTCGCTACTCTCCCAACTGACCGTAAGTCACTTAGCTTCGAATTGGCCGACAATCTCCTTAGTCGTGGCCTATATTCCTCTGCTCAGCAAGTCATTCAGAGAATCATCAGTTCCTCCACTACTCTCGCTGACGCGATTTCTGCAGCTGATTTCGCTGCTGGACGCGGCGTGGAGCTCAGTCTGCATTGCTATTATGTGCTTATTAGGAGAGTCATGGGCTTTGGTGATTTTCAATTCGCTCGGGCAATTTACTTTCACGGAATAGTTGATAGAGGGCTTGAGCCGGACTCGAATATTGTAAACTCCGTGATAGTTTGTCTGGCGAAATTGGGAGATTTGGAGGGGGCACTGGTTCTCTTTGACCGGCTTTGGGACAAGGGTTGGATGCCCTGTGAAGCCGCCGGTGATACAGTTCTCAGAGGGTTATATGAGCAGAAGCGGTTTCTAGAGGCACTTGTGTACTTCAATAGGATTACGAACTTGAAGGTGCATGTGGGTTTCTGGTGTTTTAATATCTTGATCGATGGTTTGTGTAAACAGGGCCATCTTGTTGAAGCATTGAAGGTGTTCGATGTAATGCGAGACAGGACTGGCTTGCCGCCGACTGTCCATTTGTTGAAGTCACTATTTTTTGGGTTTTGCAAGAAGGGAATTTGTGTGGATGCAGAGAGGGTTTGTCGAGAAATGGAAGAACATGGTTTCTTTGTGGATGCAGTAATGTATTCTTCCCTAATAAACGCTTACTGCAAGCATAATGATCTGAGAATGGCAATAATGGTTTTTTTCCGGATGCTGAAGATGGGATGTGAACCAGATAAGTACACTTACACCACGTTGATTCAAGGATTTCTGAAGATGGGGTATCCTGATAAAGGATTGATTATGTACAACCAGATGTTAGACTTAGGCATGCAGCCTGATTTAGTTACTGCCCAGAGTATTATTAGTGGTTACTGTCAGAACGGAAAGGTGGATTCTGCTATGGAGTTTTTGGATAGCATGGCCCGCTCTAGTTTGGTTCCAAGTGTCCACAATTATACGTCATTGCTTTCAGCACTGTACAAGCAGAACAGGTTTTCCAATGCTAAGGTATTGTTCAGAAACATGTTAGACCGAGGAGTTATCCCTGACCATGTCACTTTCCTAATTCTCATGAAAAATCTCCCGAAGGGGCAGGAACTTGAACTTGCTTTCTTCATCTTAAGGGCAATTGCCAGAAATGGATGTAGGTTAGATCCTTGCTTGCTCTCTGTTTCTCCTGAGATATGCTCTACTGTGGATTTACAGTATGAAATTGAAATTCTACTGTTGGAAATTGTGAGATCAAATTGCAATCTGGCAAATGTGTCTTTTGGCATCTACATTAGTGCCTTGTGCGAGAGTGGAAAGTTTGAAGCTGCTTTGGCTTCTTTTGAAACGCTCAGGGGACTTGGCTGCCGTCCGTTGCCTTTCACCTTCAATTCATTGATCAAGGGACTTTGCAAGCATGGGTTACGCCAGGAAGTTAAGTATTTGCTTGGTATTATGCAAAAACACGAAATTGTTCCAGACTTCGCAACTTTCTTGATACTAGTGAGAGAGTTCTGCACACAAAATGACTTGACATCTGCTTTTGATGTTTTAGATGAGATGAAGCAGTGTGGAATCAAGCCTACTGTAGCTATTTATGATTGTATCATTGGTTGTTTAACTAAAGGAGGCAAAATGTCTGAAGCTGAAACTTGGTTCATGAAGATGATTGAGACTGGTTTGGATCCCGATGAAATGATTTGTGTCACTATGATCAATGGTTACTTCAGGAATAAACAATCTCAGAAAGCCTTATCCCTGTTTGATGTTATGGTGAAGAATGGGATCCAACCTACTAGATTTTCTTATAATGCCTTGATGAAGGGGCTAGTCAAGAACAAAATGGCTCGTGAGGGATGGATATATCTTCATAAATTGGTGGTGTCGAATGGCCCGTCCCCTGATTTTCGGCTGTACACTTCTCTAGTCAACCGGTTTTTCAGGAAGAGATAAATTGTATTTTCATCTACCCTGGTCGTTCATAGAAATGGGTTCATTGTTGTGCTTGATACGATGATATAGTGAGGATAAAACCGTAACATATCACGAAGCAAGCTTTCAGTTAGACATACCTTATGGCTTCATAGGTCCCTGTTCCCTTGATTGGTAAGCATACTTCTTGCACAGTTAGTTCTGGTAATATAATATGGCTGCCGTACTGTGAAACCAACCATTGATATATGACAATTTGCTGTGTCTATGGAATTGCAGCATGTGCATTGACAGCTGTGATGAGGGCTCATGATGGACGTGGACCACAGACAACTTACAAAATTAGATGCTGAAGGCTCTAGGCTTTTCTTCTCCTGATGAAATCATAAGGTATTGCTTGCTAGTCATTCTCTAGTATGCTGTAAAAACTAAGTACCCGTGAACGTAGAGGTTTTCTGTCATGAAATAGGAGTTCACAGGGTTTCTTGTCTCACTTTAATAAAACAGAAAATATATAAAATAACAAATTGGTCTCAGCACTTCTACAAGTTTGAACTCCAGAATTCAGGGTCACAATCTGCTTCTGGTGGAGAAAGGTCATTATTCAGTGCAATTGAACTATACCAGCTTCGATATCCATGTGGGCCAGTCTCGCTCATTTTTTGTCACCATGGATCAGAATGCAAAGTGACTACTATGTTGTGTCGAGCGCCCTATATGTGAATGAAACAGTATGGCAGAGAGTCACTGGTGTTGCTATATTGCACTACTCCAATTCTCACGGACCAGCTGCCAGTCCTCTGCCTGAGGCAGCAAACGATATCTACTACTAGTGGTCTGCCATGAACCTGGCAAAGACCATCAGGTTTGTGCTCTAAACATAACTAATTTCATATGCTTTTTATGTATGAAACGTTTTCCGCTGACTCTTCTCTTTTCCTGTTAATATCGAGTAGGCAAAATACATCTGCAAGTGGGCTAGGCCAAATCCACAGGGCTTGTTTAACTATGTGCAGATCAATATTGCTGACACATACATTTTAAGGAGCTTGCCACCAGTTTCAATCAATGGGAAGAAGCGCATCACTCTAAACTGAATATCTTTTCGGAACCCGGATACCCGAATCAGGCTTGCTGATCTATACAAGGTGAAGGGAGCATACAAGCTTGATTCACAAGTGCTAACTGCTACTTACAAGGGTTGCATCGAGATCATACTGTTGTAACACTGAGAACATCACTCTTGCACCGTTTTCTTGCCCCCACACCCACACCACTTTGTTGAGTGGGACAAACTGCAGTATGGACTGGGCAATATGGTAAGAGAGCAATAGGAATGTATATAACAACTGGGACGCCATTTCTCGCTCCATTATTGAGGTTGGCTTGCTTGCTTTTAAACTCATGAAGGATTTTAATTTGCAATGAAATGTCAAGTCTGTCTCTGTGTCATGATGTTTGATCTAATCAATATGTGCAGGTGCATCCTGGAGCATGGACCGCTGTTCTTGCATCCCTGGATAATGTGGGTGTATGAAGCTTGAGAGTGGAGAATCTGAACAATGTGGGTGTTCTGAAATAGGCGTTCATGCAGTTTCTTGTTTAACTTTATAGTTTGGTGACTCGAACAAAATGCTGTCATGGTTGTTCCTTTTGCAAGTGAAGTTTCTTGACCTCCATTTCTTCAGTTTATTTCTTATGACTAGAGCATTCTGTTAATTGTAGATTCTGGAGCTGCTAACCCCTTCATGGTCTGTTGTGCTCATTGGTTTTTGGAGAGTAAACATTTTCCCAAATGCTGAAGGATTTGATTAAATGAACTAATGCTAGCATTTCTCCCCTCTGTGATATATATTTAGGTTGACTTATACAGATCCATCTTGAGCACGCATTGCAGGCTGCAGCTCTTGTCCCGGAAGTGGTATCTTGTGCAGAAGGTTCGGATGAAGTTGCGCAGAAGATCCTTGTCAATGGGGTACAGGAATTGGCATTAAGTGCGAAGGCAGTTGTTTAACGGCTGCGGTGAAGGTATTTAGTATTCTGTAACTTAGTGATCTATATTAACTCGTAATATCGAATGTGGTACAGTTTCAATGACTTATATATCGATGCAATGTTCAAATGACAAATGGTCCATTAATAACAAAACATATCATCTTTATATACAATCATTTCAGGCCTTTACAAGTTACAACAAGTATCTTCACAAATTTCCCCGAAAATCAAACAGAACTACGAGTATAAATGAAATTACAGAATCCAGGAACTGACAAATGCGACTCTCAGTTTTTTTGCAGGCTGTGCAGAACAGAGTTACTAAAGACCAGAGTTGAATGGGACACCTGTAGCTGGAGCCACGACCTTCCCGCTATGAAGTTGTCAACAGTAAACCTCGACGCTTCAGCCGCACTCCTGATGACCCTGTAACCCCGCCATTTCACCCTCCGACCCGTCGGAGCTCCAGGACCCGTGTTCCCATACTCGCCGTAGTACAGAGTATCCAACGCAAAGTCCCGCGTCCCACTCGAGCCATCCCGCCGGATCAACCAGCGAGTCGAGGTACGTCCTCATGAACACAACGCGGGAGTACTTCTCCAGGGCCTGCCCAAGAACGTCCTGAACGAACCGACCACCGGTTTCAGGTCCGCGGCAGCCAGGACCCGAGAGTTGTGGATCGAGATGCCCGTGTTCTCGTTCGTGTCGTCCTGCCCTGCGCCGTGATCGTGATCTTCTGGCTCTTCATCGGCCGCCTCGCGTAGATCATGCAGTTCTGGAGGACGGCGGCGGCGTTGCCGAAGATGAAGTCCACCGTGCCGTAGATGTAGCACTCTCTGTAGAACTGGCGTTGGGAGTGGACGTAGAGCGTGTCCTGGTAGCCCTCGATGCTGCATTGGTAGAATACCGACCGGTCGGAGTCCGATCGGAGGGCCACCGCCTGGTGGTTCTGTGGACCGGCGGTGTTGCGGAAGGTGATGCCGCGGGCGATGAATCCGGCGCCGTTCACCGCTGCAATTGTGTGCGGGCGGATGGGTTAGGTGACAGGGTTTTCTTAATCCGAAGTGGAAGAGGATTATGTCACGGTCAGGTTTTTTCATTCCATTGACATTTTGTAATTAATGTGTTTCGTGCTGCTCCAATAAAAGACATAAATATGTTTCTTGTTGAGTTATAGAAAGGCAGTAGCCCAAGTACCTAAAACATTATTTGTTAAATTCCTGTGGAAGTCTAAATGTCTAATCATAACTTGTTTTCTTTTTAAAGAAATGAAAGAGATTAGGAGACCATTCCTCAAGAATTATAAAATTAACTAGTTTCATCAACAAAAACAATTGTGGACCGCTAAAACCCCAACCAAGTTTAGTTTGGTTAAGCAAATTATGCATCGATAAAATGAATAGGAATTCTAATAACTGTGAAATGAAGCCAGAAATATATTTTATGCCAATTTATTACGAGTCACTTTATACGACTAGTGTTTACTCTAAGGAGTTGTAATGAAGCAGCTCATGATTTTGCTATTTATTTGTAATTTGAAAGTAGCGGATTAACCATACTGATTGACTATTATATGATTTTTTGAACTTATAGAGTAGATTACTACACATATTTCATGGTCTACCTTAAGAATCCTTTTAATAAAAATCGTCATATTTACCACAACAAAATATCACAATCCCTTTAAGGAGAAACAATACTTGAAATTTAAATATATCTTTCACATTGTGTATCCATAATTATTATTGAGAGTCATAAAAAGTTACAAACAAGGATTTTCAATAAAACCTCTTATAATATAAGTAGCTAGTTCATCTTAATGATTAAATTTTTAGCTTAGATATAAGTAACATTCCATTTAATAGCTATGATATTTTTGTTTTTTTTTATAATTATGATATATATTTATTTTATTATAGATGTTATTTAAAATATTCGAACTTGAAACCTCCAATTGAAAATCAATAATAGTAATAACTAACCAAATTCTTAGTTTGTTATGACATTATCACCATTTTAAATGAATGATTTTGAATATATTACTTAATTACTAAAAAATTTCAGTGAATAACATAAGTTTTCTTCCTCCGAAGAGAATATTAGAGTTATGACTTGTGATTGTGACAATTAATTTAGGCAACAAAACACTTATCCACGCACAAAATTCATTACCGAAAACCCATTTCGCTTACCAAACGTCGCAGACCGGAAAGTAGTAGACCCACCGCCGACGCTCCGGCTGCCGGTAATAACAGTGTTCCTCATCCCATCTCCGACCAGCATCACGTTCTTCAACCCGCTCCCCACCTCCACATTCTCCTTATACACCCCTCTCTTCACCCTTATCACAAACCTCCGGCACCTCCCCTCTTCCCCGCCGCCTTGACCGCCTCCGCCACCGTCCTGAAATCCCCCGACCCGTCCTTCGCCACCACAACATCCGCCGCCGGCGACTGCAGCAGCCTCCTCCTGTCCCCGGCGTTGACCCAGCCCGGAAACCCGTCCCTGTACTCACCACGCGGCGGGTCAAAGTCCCTCCGCCGCCGCCGCCGGTCACGGCGAGGGCGTTGCTGAGCAGCTTGGAGACGTTGTTGTTGGTCATCATCGGGAGGAGGCGGTGGGCGGGACCCGACAACCCGAGGTCCGAAACCCGGCCCGACACGTGTCGAGGCTGGTCAGCGCGGCGCTGAGCCAGGTCCTGGCGTCGGAGTCGGTGGATTTGGGCTCGGTTAGGGTGGCGTTGAGGTGGCGGACGGCGGCGGTGTAGAGGTCCATGCAGTCGGCCCATGCGGCCTTTTCTTTGCGGGTGCGGCACTTCGTTCCGAGTTGTTTGTTGTGGGCCTGGGCCGTCGTGGCCCGGCCCATGGCGAGTTGGATGGCGGTTTTGCGGAAGGCTAAGGAAGAGGTGACGACGGTAGCGGGTTGCGGGTTTTGGGCCACGAGGAAGTGGTTGCACGGGTCCGGGTTCGGGGTTTGGTCGCACCACCATTTGACGTCGTGGTGATTGCCGTCTGTTGTTGTGGCGGAAAGAGAAGGGGAGAAGAAGAGTGAAGAGATGAAGCAGAAGAGAAATGTGAAGAGGGGAACCAATGGGAGATTTGTGGCCATTGTTATTAGTGAGAAGAAGTGAAGGTTTGTGTTTATGTATTTATATGTGAAGGAAAGGATAGCGTATTGGGTTGGGATATAGGAAAGTAGCTGGTTTATGAAAATGTCAACAAGATTTTTATGTATTTTTGTTTGGGGATTTTATCTCGACGATGAATAACAACTAGGGATAATGAGAGTAGATGCTTGAAGAGAGATTATGAGGTTTGAGCAAGAATTAGAAGAGAATTTGGAAGAAAGGGATTAGAATAGGAAGAGGATAATAGAGATTAAAGAGATTATAGAAGAATATCGATGATTCGTCTAATGATTTGATGAGGGAAATTTATGGCAGAACTATTTTCATAACTTAGGAATTGTGACGACAATAACCTTATAGTCATCATTATACTCAATGACTTGATCGAATATATATTCTACAAACTAATGCATGTGGACGGTTCAAACATTGAGTTTTCTTTAATGAGATGTTATGTATACTAGGGCTGGGAATTTAGACCAAACCTTATGACAAACCGCGGTTTAGACCGTACCGTACGGTTTGGTCCGGACCGTTAGACCATGAATACAATTTGGTCTGGTCCATGGTTTGCCTCTTTCACTTGTGGTCTGGAACGGTTTGGTCTGGTCTAGACCGTGGTTAACCGTCCAGACCGTGACAAAATTAACTATGGGCTGAGCCCAACTAGGCAGCCAGACATTTCAATGGGCCAAAGCCCAGTTTCATTCTCCCACAGCCAACCACAGCCCTAGCTGCGTGCCTGCTTCCCCATCCTCCAGCATTTCGGCTGCTGCGTGCGCCGTGCTTCCCCATCCTGCAGCCCCGTCGCAACTCGCTCGAAGTGAGAAGGGAGAAGGAAAACTCGCTGCCCTGCTACGATTGAAAACTAGACCACCATCATAATCCTCCATTAACAACCATCCTTCTACTTCTTCCCAGTACAACAAATCCTTCTACTTCTTCGAAGAACAACAAAACCTTCTCGTTGAATCGCTGCAATACGTCACTGCTGCTTGCGGCTCTCATGGCTCCGTGCCTCGCCGACTTTGGCGGATTCAGAGGTCGATGACCAGACACTGTAAATTAAACTGAAGCGACATAAAAGTCTGAGATTGCAATTGATTGACGAGACAACTCACCTGAAATTGGATACAGAGTGCGACGGCCGACTTTGCAGCCCCAATCCCAATCGTCGCCTCGCCTCCCGTCTCCGATTATCCATCATTCGCCCCGCCGTTGTTTGTCTCCATCGCCTTCCACCATAGCCATCGACCTCCACCATCCTTCTCTTCTCAGGCTGCTCCATCACCATCGACCTTTAACATTGGATAATACAGGTTTTGTTGAACATGGTCTACTCGGTCCAGATCGTACCGGACCGCACCGCACAGGCGTGGTCTGGTCTGGACCGTATAGGTTATGGTCTGGTCTATGGTCTCTGTTCTACCCTCACGGTCTGGACCGCAGACCATGTATATGATCTGGACCAGACCGCACCGTTTCCCAGCCCTAATGTATACTAACAAAGGATGTGTTGCTCAATGGACAATGTGTGTGCCTGATCAATCGATAGAATGAATAATTTAAAGAGAATGAAAAGAAAAGAACGACAACGCTCTAGAAGTCATGAATACTCGACTCCGAAATCGACTCACCATGTAACAAGCCAACATATGTGCCCAACCCTAATACTCAATTAAGTTCCTGATAGCAAAAACTCATATTGTAAACTCTCAAATCACTATTTGTACACTTACCAAAAACACACTCAATTTCCTCTAACCCAGACCATCTTATACATAAGACTCTCACAACGCATTTAGAATCCCCAAAAAGCTCTTTGTTTCCGTCCCAACAAGATAAACAAAGAAACTACATGCAAACTAACACAGTGAAATCATAGAAAGGATACTACCTAATCATACCATATCATGCTCCCCGAAAAAAATTCCTAAAAAAAATTCGCGACGAAATAATGAAAAGAACTCATTTCACACCTTATGAGTGGGCTTAAAATGAATCATATAGTTGTACCAAAAGCGATATACCAGACAATGTTACTCAGAAAGATAGAATTTATCCTCTAATGAAAATGACAATCCATTCGATTTTGCTTTTTTTAATTAAATGATGATCGAACGGGGAAGTGCCCAATGACCTCTTTTGCTTTCTTTCTTAATTAAATGATGATCCTATGGGGAGGAGCCCTAATTAACTAATTACATGCACACACTTCAATATCATCAATCAGATTGTGTTTGAGTTTCAACTTGCCTTTTACATCTAGCTAATTAATCAGTCTAGCTACTAGATATGTTAATCATATCATCATTTTAAGCTTCCGGTACAAAAAAAATGTTTAGTTTCTATTGGAAGTTGGTAAGAAGAATGCTGGTAGCCCAAATATGTGGAAGTTATACACTATTCACAGAAAATTATGTTGTTAAGATAGCTTTGCTACGTCGTTTTGGATTAGATATAGCTTTTTCCATATCTTCTGGACGTCTAATTTTTGTTTGGGTTAAAGTTGGCAAGTAATTGCAAAGAAACAAAAAGGATGATAACAACGGTCATGTTGCAAATGTATTTCTTGTTGTACAAAGCAAAAACCAAATATGGGAAACTATGTTGTATACTCAAGTCAATTATGATAAATTGAACATAGGTATCCTACTAATTTTGATTACATTAATATATTCCCATAAGTTATTGGTTTGGTTGCACATAGAAATAGCGATGGGGATTAAGTGTAGGTTGGGCGGGGTTTTGTGCGAAAATTCACCACCCATAATTAAGTAGGTAAATAGAAATACAATCCGCTCTCACTCAAATATACAACGGTGGGTATGAGTTGAGTGGGTTAATGCGGTTCACGAGTAGTTTAGGATCGGTAAAATTATTTTTGTAAAAATAAAAAACAAACCTAAATCATAATAAATTCGTAAACAAACTTCAATAGAACAAAATCCATAAAGAAAATGTAAGTTCCTACCGACAATTTTATTGATTGATGTTGACATTCGTGGGTCTTTTTCAGTTCCTTCTTATGATGGATACAATTAATTATGTAATATAGTAGATGATTATTCACATGTTGTTTGGGGTTTATCTGAATGCAACACAAAAACGAAACCACAAAATTGCTTAAATGGTTCTATAGTTTGGTTAAAGCTAGTTTGGTATAACTGTTTGAAGATTCAAAGTGATCAAGGTAAGCAA